GTTTTGGATATAAAGTTCACTTTAAACTCAAATTTTATACACTTTCCAAATGACACCAAACACTAAATATTTATAAATTTTTTATTATTAAGTTTTAATGAACTTTTTATTTATACTAAAAATACTTTATATTCATTACTGATTAAGTGATTGAAACACTTATTGTCTATTAAGTACTAATTCTGTGCCAAACGACAAACAACTAATTGTTTGTTACATTAAATCTCTCAATAATAAGTTTCAATCGGTTTGGAAACCTCTTATTTTTTAAATTTAATTCTTGTTATTGTTTGTAAACAATATTTGTATCGAAATATTTGCGTTAAAATTGCAACTTTTCTAAGAAAATGCACATTTAATCGCATATTTGCTTATCTCGAAAACACTTATCAAAAGGTATATAAATGCCTGTAAACAGAAATTGATTTTAAATAAAAAGGAAAACTTTTGCCGTTTTATATCAAAAAGTTTTTATCCCAAGAATCGGTTTGAATGGAGTCTAAAATACATTCATTTAGCTGTTCAACAGAAGTGAATAAAATATTGTCCCAAAAATGTGATTCACTTCCCGTTTATGAAAGCAATGAAAAAAGACTTTTCAATCGAGACTTATATGGATATTCACTGCCGAGCGATGACTACGTCTACACACAGAGCGTACGGACAATACAAGAATCGGACTCAAGTGATGACAAGAGTGTCACACGAGTGCCGTTTCAGAGGAAACAGTTGTTTATATTAATACTGTTGGCTTACGGCAACTTCTGGGTGGCCGCCTGTGTCAGCCTTCAGGCGCCCTTCTATCCCAAAGAAGCCGAATCTAAAGGTATTTTTGAGACACTTTTATAGTAAATAATTAACAAAATAATTGACATTTCTTTAGGCGCGACTCCCACTCAATACGGGTTAGTGTTTGGCATCTATGAGCTGATGATTGCCATCACTTCACCACTCTTTGGCAAAATGATTTCATCCGTATCGCCGGTCCTGTTGTGCGAAATCGGACATTAGGCGCGACTCCCACTCAATACGGGTTAGTGTTTGGCATCTATGAGCTGATGATTGCCATCACTTCACCACTCTTTGGCAAAATGATTTCATCCGTATCGCCGGTCCTGTTGTGCGAAATCGGACTTTTTGTGTCCGGTTTTAGTACTATTGTGTTCGGCGTATTGGACAGACTGCCCTCCGGAACCCCTTTTATAGCCATGTGTTTTGCCGTCCGTATAGTTGAAGGCATATCTGCGGCCGCATTCATGACCGCCTCGTATGTAATTATGGCCAAAGAATTCTCCGATAAAATCGCCACAACTTTTTCACTGTTGGAAACATGTTTTGGTTTGGGTTTAATACTCGGGCCAACACTTGGCGGTGCTTTTTATCAAATGGGAGGCTTTTTAGCGCCGTTTGTCATATTGGGCTCATTCTTGCTATTAGGGGGTGTTTTTACATTCATATTAATGCCAAAAACAGTTGAGTCTTCTCAACAAAAGTCGGGAAATATATTCAAATTCATAGCCGACACCGGAATACTATTGGACGCCTTAGCCATCGCCACATCTCTCAACTTCATTGGCTTCAATGCGGCCACTCTTGAGCCACATCTCAGGAAATTTGAGTAATTAATGCATATATTTATTATTTAATACCAAAATTTTTAATTGTTTTTATTCTCTTTCAATACACAGTCTGTCGCCTATAATAATGGGCTGTATTTTTGTCATTTCTGGTGGTATTTATGCCATCACTACTCCTATTTGGGGAAGACTTTGTGATAAAGGGGTTTGTTATAAATCTTATAATTATCTCTCGTAAAACCCAATTAATTATCAAAAATATTATCTTTTCTCTTCGCCACAGTTTGATCCCAAGAAACTATCATTATTTGGTTCACTACTGTGTCTCATAGGCTTCACATTCATAGGACCTCTTGATTTCATTCCTCTTCAAACGTAAGACTTGCCAAACATTAATTGACACACAATTGATAATAATTATACAATTATTGTAAAATGAGAAAATACAGTTTTAAATATTATATTTGATATTACAGTGAATTATGGCTCGTAATCCTATCCCTGGTATTCATTGGTCTGGGAATCGCATCAAAACTGGTCACAGCATTCATCAGCGCTTTGCACGACTCAATACATCGACGAGGTTTTGCCGACGATATATCCACCTATGGATTAGTGTCGGCGATGTTCTTCTGCGCCTGTAGTATAGGGTATGAACTCATTGACCAACTCTTTACTTAATTCCCACAATAATGTATTTAACACTCCTTTACAGTGCATTCATCGGTCCCTCTTTGGGTGGTTTCCTATTGGATAGAATCGGTTATCGAAAAGCAATTCTCGTTATTCTGGTCGTCGATATTGTTATGGTATTTGACATTCACTTTCCGATTGATATTTCATTTGTTTCACTAATAAATTGTGTCCAACTTTTAGGTATTGTTTCATTTGATTTATATGACTGCCAGAAGACTACAAAAGTCCGACAGAGATGACGAACTCCGACCACTTCTCGCAAATTAACTGTATTTTAATTATTAGTAAAATTAATTTTAGTGTTTTTTTAATTTTCTATTTATTTATATCGCATTTATTATTCATTTTTATCAAATAATTTGTCATTAAATTTTGCACAAATAAAGTATTGCTTTTTAAAATCGCCGATTCATTTATTAAATAAAATGTTGTTTTAATTAAAAAGTTTGCACAAACATAAAGATAGAAAGTGGTTTAAATATTAAATTTTAAAATTGAACAATATACATGTATGTGAAGCTGGAAAATATTTAATTAATAATTATTTTTTAAAAATTAACACAACTATTGATATTATTATTATTATGATAACTATTAATATTTAAAAATAGTAAAAATTGTATACAATTATAACGCGATTAAAATTATGTAAAAATTAATATTTTAAGTCAAAGTTTCACTATTAATTAATAAATGAAAATTTCAGTATTGTTTAAAATAATTTGTTTATAGCGCTGTTTAAATTGTTGGAAAATTGTTTAGGAGCATCTGGTTACACTAGACAAAGTTTTGTAAAGTACAGTATAATGTACAGTACAGTGCTATCAATGGTATTTCAATACAGTATTTCGCAACCACTATAAGTCTATAACAAATTATCAACAAAACAATGTGACAAAAACACAACTCCTATTCAATTGTGAGTTCAATGATCTTATATAATATTATATCTAATTATATAATAAGTAATTATCTCCTAATTATCTGTTTATAACAAATGTTTCTTAATATAGAGAATAATACATATAAAACCAAATATAAGTGAAATTTTGCAAACAATATATTGTTTTGAAAATGTCGACAATATTTTACCCGCAAAATACAATTCCTATTAATATTTCGCTTACAATAACACAAATACTAATTATCTATACATTGAATTAGTTGTATTCTATATTTGAATATTTACTTTAAATGTTATATTTAATTAACCCAAATATAATTTAATATTATTTTTATATTTTGTACATGCTCATCTGTTAATAACTTATTATGGTAATTCTATGCACATTAATTACGCTGACATTACTGCCACTAATCATTAAAGACTTTCAGAATATTTATTCCAAAGTATCTAAAGTATCTTTATTCATATATCGATAAACCGATAAATATATTTAAAAACATAAAATGAAAGTCTTTACTAATCAAACATATGATAATTGTAATCTATATTTTCAATCATTTTTTAAGCCTGTCGTGTAATGCGTGGAAAATATTATCAAATAATGGTTTGATTAATAGATTTAATTGATTGAATGGTATATTGAAAGGCATGTATTCTCGTCATCAAGTTTTATATGTCCTGTACTTTAAAAGCGTATCCAATCTGTGATAGTGTTTGTTATTAACCAGTTTTTTGTATAATCTTGTAATATAGGGATGGATTCAAATTTATTTTATTTTAATAACATTTAAAATATAATTTTTAAAAAGTTTAAAACTTCACAAAATGGTGAATTTATGAAGAATTTGGTTTATAGGATTGTTCCTATAACCCGATTAACATGGTGTGTAAATAAATTAACATTTTATAAATTATATCAAGACAGATTATATTAATATTACATTAGAAGCTAATTTTACTTTATACATTTTATTTGTATGATTTTTATATTTAAAATATTAATTCTAAAATAATAATAATACAAACTGTAATTTAAAAATTGTTATCAATATTATGTGTTTAAAATTGAAAATTCACCAAAGAATAATCGGTCACACTAGGTCACGCTTTACTACTTAGGTAATATTTAATATTCGTCTAATTAAATTTATTTTTAAAAATCATATTATTTCAATCAACATTTAAAATTTACCACGTTCAGTAATAATTTATGCAACATTTTTTACAAATTCTGACATTTAATAACAAGAACTCATGATATGATTATGGTCATTTATTAAATTCAATCAATTTTAGAATTGAGTTAAATCTGTATTCAGTTTAATTAAGACCCTAAACGTTGCCTTAAATTTATACCTAAACTTTCTTAAAAACTTCACCAAAACCAATACATCCTTAAATGTAACATGATAAAAATGATAAACTATATGTAATTCTGACACTTTCTATCTATAAATATTATAAGTTATTAAAGGGATTATTTAAAAATACATAAATACTTATAAATACTACAATTAAAATAAGATTTACAACAGGAATATTCTTGATAAAAGGGCAATTTGTTATGATTATAAATCAAGCTCGTTAGTTTTTTATTTAAAAAATACGTTCACTTATAGTTACGGTACTTGTATTTCAAACTTTTCTCAAGTATTTTTCCAAACTTATATTAACCAAACTTTTGGATCAATTTTTTTGACGACAGACACTAAAAAATGATATTTATTTTGTAATACTTGCCAATAGATTAGATAACAGTTATAATTAGTTTATAATTTATTTTATTGATATAAAATGTATTTCAACAAATCAATTGATTGACTGTTAAGAGACAAAAATCTTCAATTTTAGTGTGAAATACATTAAATGAGCGGAAATGTCGTCCATTGGTTCACAACTAATTCGGTTCACAAACTGTGAGATACTTAGAGATCATAAGATAATACGCGAAGACTTATGGGTTCGCAACGGAAAGATCGTAAATCCAGAACCGATTTACTATTTGGAGACACGATTGGCTGACATTAGCATCGACTGCA